CCAAAAATAGCCATCAGACTACTGAGTGGAAGCGCACACTGCATGCGAACGATACGAAGACATTTGCAAAATCACTTGAGAAATAAGTGTTTGTACGTTCCTTCACTTAATATTAAATGACTTATATACAAGTCAAAATAGATGGCTAGAGGCGCACTGCTCTAAAAATTCAAGTTTCGCTAATACAAACTTTCTAAACACAGACTTATCCCAAAGTCAGTAGACCACTATCCATATTGGAGTGTATTGGTTTTTAAAGTTTTTATAAACTGTATAAGCAGCAAAGCTCAGGTGTATGCATTTTCTTCGAAATCTGCACAATCTGCAGTAATCAAGTCTCTACCTAAAATCCTCATGCATAAGAGCGAATTTTAAAGCCTGGTTTAATCATTCAGGATTGCCTTTGAGAGGACCATCATCCCAGGAACGAGGCAATTGATGAAGGGTAGATCATACTGACGAAAGCCAACGTAACATCGTCTAAGGTGTGCATGATGCTTACAGTTCCTTCTGCAGAATAGTCTGCCATTTTAATTATTAAACTCCAGTCTGTTATTTAAATAAATAATTTTGAGTAAATTAAGTATCCCGAAATTTGTAGATGTGTCACAGTAAGTGTTGTCGGTGAATATTCCGTGATCTAATAGAAAAGCGTGAGTTAGTTGGAGCGTAACATCTCCCGCAGGATCCTCTACTAATTTCAATACATTATGAACAATAGATGTGCTCTCACATGACGCGATAAATAAAAGTCCGAAATGTGTATTCATTTTGCAGAGACCACATAAATAGACTGGCATGTTAGTTATCGTGTCGCCTAATGCCAAAATATTGCAGTCACGTCAGAGTGCCGGATTTCAAAGAAGTTTGTTATCGATCGCCTGCGTAAACTACATTTCGCAAAAAATGGCTATATTGGTAGTATGAAGGTTCATAATTGATTTTCAACGCCTTGGTAAACTTCAATATATTGTGTAGCAAGCTTCACAACAATACACCCTCGTCTACTTATTTGGTAGAAAATTACGTTTTATTCTAGTTATTTACCTGAAGAAAATCTATCATTCGGTTTTGAAAAGTTTTCAATCATGAGATCCTTCAACACCGTACCTATTGAACGACTCTCTAAGCCCGCTTATGATGACCTCTTAATAGCTTCCAGGAAGTTGCGATCTTTCTTACACTGAAAGTCTTCAGTTTGTAGTTTGGAAACCAAGGATGCAAGAGCAACGCAGAGTTGGGCTCAAAATCCATCTGGAGTTGGGAGCGTTTTTTTTTTAAACCAGAAGATACTCTGTCTTCAAGTATGAAATTTGGAGGATACGTATTTTTCTACAAAATGAGTAAGGAACATAATATTTTTGTGCGTGTTTTCTGCATAATATATTTGAATTTATAAGGGCGTTGGAAATCAATGGGAATAACCCATACCATTTAAATAGTCGTTTTTGCGGAATGCATTTTGTGTAAACATTCGAAAGGGAGCTCATTTGAGAGCGAACACCCTAACGTTACTGCAATATCCTGTTTGATGCACCTAGTGCCTAGACGTAATTAACGTCTGTATTTGAAGCTGTTTGTCAAGGTTCTAAAGCCCTTTTAAGTCCATGGGCTCTCTGCAGCTCGAAATCTGCCGTTTCCCTGTAGCAGCAAGAATTTCAGCAGTAAATGATTACTTGCCCTCGAATTCCTGTTTCTCATTAAGACTGTTCTTGCCCCAGTATTATTTTCAATTGTGAATCAGCACATGTGTAGAGGGGAACTCGAATCATAGATCAAGGACCTCATTAAACCGAAGGTTATTAGGCTTACGCAGCACCTACTACACTCCCCTATCTGGATCCAGTCAAGAAGACCGAAGGCGGGAGAGGGCACAGGTGGCTGTCACAGTGAAAACCCGCAACTTGGCGTACCCCCAAAGCCCCTGGTCCACAACGCACACTGGCCAGGATTTTATGTAAGAAAAAATAGAGGGCGATACGGATCCCACTGGTCACGGAATGAAGACACACACACACACACAAACGCGATTGCTCGATCGTCGCATCCGACGATGTCCACCGTGTGCCCCACAGCAGATGGTGGGAGCAGGGACGGTGATTTGCGCAGGGGTTTATAGTGCCAGTGGACTTGCGCTGCATCTACCACACTCTCTCCTCCTCCTCCGCCTGAGTCCGGTGTCAAGACAGAGTCAAGAAGACCGGAGGCGAAGAGGGCCGCAGGCGGATGACTCGGACGGATTCTCACCTTGGCGTCCCACTTCGCATCCCCTGGCCCACACAACAAATGACCAGGATTTTGACCGCCAAAACAATGGGGTGGTGGCAGTGGTCCCATTTGTGCGACAGCTGCCGGACAACAGGGTCCGCCAGCGCACCCTGCGAATGTTGGCATTTGTTATTGCGCACAAATAACGCCTGCCAGAATTAGAATTGGCCCCCGTGTTGGTCCATCGCATCTAAAACGTGGTCCCTTTGAGGGGCGCGCGCACACAGGCGAACCACGAATACCCCCAATGTTGGCATTTGTCAATTGTGCACAGCCCCCATAACGACTTCCGGATGCCGATCAAGTCCGCGTGCCTGGTCAGCGCATCCACCGCATGACGCGACTATGCTTGTAGGAGAATTGAACTTATCTACCACAATAGGACTAATAAATCCCCTGAGAATCGCTTTCTCATGTTTTTTTTCGTCGGAAAGTGCATTGTCGGAACTTGGTAGATTTAAAAGCTCTACGGAACTTTCGATGAAGAAGAGGAAGCCACTTTTTTCCTGAAATGTTTAAGCATGACACCCTTACCCGATGATGGAACACTTGCTTAACAAACGAGCCAAGTTCTCACAGGTTATTGTACTACTCTTTGTTCGCGTCACTGCGTTCATTTCAGTGAGACTCCCTTATTCCACAGTATGCATACTTCCCCGAAAATTGGGAGTAAAAAGTTGTGACAATGGCAGATTTCACAGATAGTTACGGTTAGAAGACGTAAGAGACCGGGGTCAGTAATGTGGGAAAAATGAAGTGCTCACCGGATCAAAAGGGATTTTATTGCTGGCGTTTTGGATATCCTGGCCGGCTTTCCAGTATCAAAGAGTTTAGTGCAAAAATCTACCAAAATTTTGAACAAACGGCCAAATTAGTTGACGTTTAGCTGATCGGTTATTTCTCTTCTTCCGCTGCCCTGGCCCTCTGACCGTCGCTTTTGAATGTTGGTGGGCTGCTATGTTGTGTGTCGTCACCTCAATTGGGGTCGGTTGCGGTTGTGCAGCCCTTTAGGGCGAATTGTTCGACGGGCCGTGTTTGCTCGGTATTCTTAGGCTGCGTGTGACCATCTTGTCCTGGCCATGCTGTATGCAGTGACGTAGGACTTTATAAGTCGGGGGAAAGTCTAGATAACTATTGATGGAGTTGATATCTGAGTACCGGGCCCCACGCGTGAGACGTTCTGTTCTTGATGCGCCCCGGCCTAAGACGGTTGCTCCTTGAAAGTCAGAGCTGTGATTAATTTCACCGATTTGAGTCGCAAGCTGAGGGCTTGAGTTTAGTCTCCGAGTTGCCAGTTGGTGCTCATGTAGAAGGGTCTGTAATTTCCGTTCGGTTTCCCCTAAGTAATTGCAGTTTCCATTGTTACAACCTATTTAATAGACAACTGCTGAGGTTTCAGTGGGTGGCACTGTCGTTGGGTTGCATCAAACGGCGACAAATTGCTGCCTGGGGTCGATGGGCAAAGCCTAACCTGGCAGGCTCTAGCAGTCGTGAAACCGCTTTGCGGAGTGTTTTAATGTAAGGAGTAGCCCTCCAGACTTCGGGTTGTTCTTCTTGTGGCCGTCATCTATTTACTGGGCATGTGCTTTGCTTGATATAATAACTTGGGCATCCATAGGCCCGGAAAAGGTCATGAAGTTATTGTGTTCAACACTTTTGTCAGCTGGTGTGCTGCAGTGTTTTCCAACTCTTCGGTTCCATGAGCTAGTTAACAACTTTTTACAGAGGCACTACGCATCGAAATAATTTATTTTCCCTTCTGTGTTTCAGACGTCGAGTCTTATGTAGGAAATGCCATCGTAACGCTCTGTCCTCGGTAAAGTTCCGTATAATATGAGATTCTGTACAAAATTAATGGATCTTTGCTTGAATTCTATGACTCAGATTGTTAGAACATTGGCTGTATAAAGCCTTACCTTTGCTTTGCTGCGTTCGAATTTCGCCGAAGCCGCTGAGTGCGTCACAAATAACGACCAAAGAAACCCAAATGTATGTAGACAGCAATGAACTGAAGAACATTTTTGCATCACTCAAGTTAATCTGCGGCACGCCAACTAAAGGAACCGTGCTGCCTCTCAGCTTTGACGAAACAGCGCTCCTGACAGAGAAATCGCAGATTCTAAAGCGCTGGGCTACGCACTTCTGGTGTCCATAACCGCTCCTCTACAGTCTACGGCGCCGGCATCGGCCGACCACACCAAATAGAAAGGAATGACGACCTGGATCTGTCACTTTCTCTCCCAGAAACGATCCGCACCGTGTACCAACTGTTAAGCTGGACAGCACCGAGATCGGTTGCGACTCCGGCTGAAGTCTAAGAACATAGCGGCCCCCATCGCATGGATCAACGCCCGATTTTGCGCGACGGACAAGTTCCTCAGGATTTCCAGTATGTGACGATCTTCTATTTCTAGAAGAAAAAAGAGAACCGGCAACTCTGTGATAACCACATAGGAATCTCGCTGCTCAACTGCTCTGCTCCCCTCCTTCTCAGCCGCCTCAGTGACCATCTCAAACAAAGACTTCTTTAGAAATGCCACTGTGGCTACCGTCGTCATCGCGAAGCCACAGATGTGAATTCTGCTGCACGTCAGCTGCAAAGCAAATGCCAGGAAATGCGGACCCACCTCTACACTACCTTCGAGGACTTTACGAATGCCTTTGACACGGGGAATCACGATGGACTGTGGAAAATCATGAAGAAATTCGGCTGTCCTGAACGACTCACGTGAATGGTGCTTGAGCTTCACGACCGTATGATGGCGTGCGTCACAGATAGCTGGGCAATCTTCAAGGCATTTGCAATTACCAATAAAGCGAAAAAGGGCTGCATACACGCCTTCACCCATTTCAGCCTCATGTTTGTATTATGCCGATGGACACCTACGTGATGAGCGCCTTGGAATCCGCATCGTCTTCAGAACCAACGGCCATCTGCTCAACGACAGGCGTCTACAGCCTTCAACGTATCTCTCCATGACTACTGTTCAGGGCCTGCTTTTCCCGGATGCTTGCGTGCTCAAAACCGTGTCAGAAGCTGACGTGCAGCGAAGCACAAACCCCACCGCCGCAGGATGTGCCAACTTCGGACTGATCACCAACACGGGCAAAACGGTGGTCATGCACCAACCACCGCTGAACGCTGCCTACAAGGCTCCTCTCAGTCACGTCAGTACCTCCGAACTGAAAACCGTGGAGGACTTCGCCTGCCTAGGGAGCACACTCTCACGTTGCATTGAAATCGGCGATGAAGAAGCCCACTGGATCTCTTTGCCAGCCGAGCCTTCGGCCGGCTGCAGAAATTAGTAGGGAACCATCATGGCTTCCGCCTGAACACCACGCTCTGCTAACCTACCACCCTCACCACCACAAACCCCAACTTCAGGGCTGTGGACTCAGTCCTAACCCGACCCCATTGCAACCTAACGCATCGGTCTGGTCAGTCACTTCCCAGTTTATCACACAAAGACTGTCAGATCAGCGCCCTGAGCACCAACTAACACTCCTTTTGTGTGAGATCCTGGTCAAACGTTTGTCTGGACCAGGGGGTGTGGTTGTACTCGTAAGTACGGGTTTATGCCGTGCCAGCCACCTGTGTTCTCTCCCTCCTCAGGTTTTTTAACTTGGTCACGGCACCGGTCCCAGGTGGGGGTTGAGGAGAGAGTGCGGTTGGTGCAGCGAAAGTCTACCATCACTGTAAACTAATTCGCACGCAAGTCACCATCCCTACTTCTACCTCGTTGAGGAGCGCGTGGTGGAAATCCTCAAAACCGATGACTGAACTCTCAATGTTTATGATCTGGCTTTTAAACAAATTGCGCACACAGTACATGCGTAAAAGGCAGGCGGTTTAGCGTCCTTGCGGAAAAAGGCAATAGAGTTAGCAGTAAGTCTACACTTACGATCTTCGTATTCAGCTAAAAAAGGGAATTCGGCAGGGCACATAAGTTTATGCGGACAAACCCGAGGATCACTGCCTCCACACACTATCCTCAGTAACAATAAATCATATCTAAAATGCAATCTCAAGTAGGCGAAAACTTTCAGCCCATGGGAATAGGCCATGCAAGTTAACAGTAAGTCTTCACTTACGATATTCGTACTCATCTAAAAAGGGAATTCGGCAGGGTACATAGAGCTACTGGGCGGTCCTGAAGTATATAGGCGTGTTAGTGTAACAACTGAGCTGAACCAAAACCAGTTTGTTTTAAGAAGAGGAACAAAGAGATATTAAGGGGAAGACAGAAGCTGACGGACTTGTGGTCTCTTTTGGCTTTTAGTGTAAATACAGAACGGTTTTACTCTCTCCCCGTTAACAGCCTCCAACCCCATCTCCCCTGAACGTCTGCCCCGAATCAGCGGATCTGTGTGACATTTTGGATTTTTTCATATTGCATTCAGAATTCTAGCCATTACAATAAGCCTTTATACTTACATCTGCCATTGGATTATTCTGTTGTTGGATGTCAACGATGGCTAACGAAAATTCTAGCGAGATCACATTGCATGGGGACGAACCTTCGAGCACTGGTTCCAGACCGGAGGAATCTACCTTTCCGAAGGGCCCTGTGTGCCCGAGTACCACATTAGTAAACGCTAATTATCTATGTATACTCGTGCACAACAGGTGCAGTCACTACATCTATTTATGCAGACGAAACTGATTATTAGTGCCGCCATACACCATCATCAGTAACAATAAATTAAATCTAAAATGTAATCTCAAGAAGGCAAACATTTTCAGCACATGGTAATAGGCCATGCAAGTTAACAGTAAGTCTTCACTTACTATCTTCGTACTCATCTAAAATGGGAATTCGGCAGGGCACATAATTGCGACTGAGCGGTCCGGAAGCATATAGGCGTGTAAGTAAATACTAATTACCTAGCATATTCGAGCGTAACAAATAGAGTCATTGCATCTATTTATGCAGACGAATCTGGTTATTAGTGCCTCCATACACTACCATCAATATTGAAAATTAAATATAAAATGCACAGTAGTCAGTTGACGTGCTGAGAACGAGAGAGCGTTGTCAGTAATGCATTTTATGCAAAACGGATATTTTTGGCACTCTGATCCGCTGCCTGTCGTTAATGTTTGAAAAAACGAGCATGTGTTAAAACGCCTGTTATTTTAGACAAATAGTAATGCAAAATATTTGCAACGAACTACGTCTGACTGCCTTAGACTAGCCTGCTCAGAGAGCACACCTCCGGGACGGGAAACACATATTCGCAGAACAGCAGTTGGCAAACAAATGTCTGGGTAACAGCAGCCTCGTAAACATTAGCATTTCGGTAGTAACTGCGAAAAGGATGAATACAAGTGCAAAGGCGTCTGATAACGTGGTAAATAAAAATTGCATAGGCATCGCATGTTAGCGTCTGCATACAACATATTTAGTATGTAGCAAAGCCAAAGGCCTTTTCGATTTGGAAGACGAGTATGCACAATGAAAGCAGACTCGATTATATTTAGCGTAGTATATAGTATATTTAAGGGCAGTAGGCAATGCCCTTGAGTACCCTATTGAAATCGGAGCGTACGGTATAATTGTTAAATGTACATCGTACTAACATTTTGCCAGTAACGTATTCGTTTGCGAAAAAAACGTTCTTGCAGTGCTCGACTGCGAAAGGTGTGGCAGACGGTCTTTTAAGTGTACATATGAAATTTTAAGTGTAACTATAGACAATCAGCATAAAATGCAGTCATTTGCGTAGTTAGCGAGTGAAAATTTCATGAAACGTCAGGGATGAGTTACGTAGGGATGAAATCAGGAAATACAATTTATGGCTGACCGCAGATAATCCTGCAGTAAGGGTCGTCGTTTATCAAAGATCAAACGATCCAGCTGCCTTTTGAATACAGCCATTGTATCAGATTTCACTATTTCATTTGGGAGTGAGTTCCACGGTCGAAAAACACGCTGGCTGAAAGAAAACTTCCGATGGTGTAGGCGTGTACGCTCCCGCTTGACTTTGTACGGACGACCAAGCATGTGACTCATGGTCGTGAATTCAAAGATGTCCTCAGATTTGAGCGAACATTTATGCCCGTGGATACTGCGCAATGTTTACAACAGGTCATACCTCATTCGTTTATAGGATAGGGGGAACACGTTTAGCTGGATCAGTCTTTCTAGGTATGATAGGGTCCTGGGACCGTCCACCAGTTTTGTGGTCCACCGTTGCAACTGCTCTATGGCATCACTGACTTTCTTCATCCAGGGCGTCCATGATGACACTCCGTATTCCAAGTACGGTCTGACGAAGGTGCCGAATATCTGTTTGTGAACCGCGAAGAGTATACGTCGTAAAGTTCAGGAGCACGAATTTCCTCATGTGAAGAACCTGGAGGAACCTTACCAAAGCCTACCAAATCTCATCGATAATGTAAATGCATATGGTCTCCCTTTGAAAGGCAGACTGAAGAATTACGAAATTGCCCAGATTGTGTCCCACGCGACCCTCCCGCCTTAATCAAAGCAACTGAAATTGGGTAAATCCTATGTACAAAAGCCAGCATACTAGCTTTTTACAGTCTGTGTGCTGTTTATCCTATCTTCTACACAGGTGTCTGCGTATTTTGACATCATGTACTTGCTAAATACTATTTCGTGTAAGGCGGCAAAGATGCCTGGGCGAAGGAAAAACAACCGAAAACAATGTGTTAATCATTTGTACGGTCAATTCAACGCTGACATTAAAACATGTAAAATATACTCGGAAGTCATGTGAAGTAGCATATCATCTGATTAATAAAAGTGGTTGAGTATGTGAATAAGAATTATTTCGATTCAGTCGTATGCGCTCCCCGAATATGTACCGAGCTGAACATCACTAACGGCAAAAGATATAAGTAATCGGGTTTTCCCAGAATAGCCTATATGCCCAGACATGTTTAGCTAGAAAACAGAGCACCTTAGTGGTAAGCTGGAGGAGGATGCAAACCCGTTTTGAATAAACAGACAGTAGGTCTGCTTTTCAGCAGGCAAAATATGTGGAAACTATAAAAGAAGTTCATGGAAGCAGCCTGAAAAAATGGAGATGTAGTTGCTAGATCAAAAGTTTTCTTTAAAAGCTGTTTTGGATCCACTCTGGAACCACCATGAGGGACTGCAGATTAGGGTAGTGTTTTGCAAAAGCGTTACCAGGCGTATGCTCATGCACAACCAATCCGGTTAAATTCTTGAACCGCAAAATTAATACAATGCTGTTGGCATCAGATTACTTGACTTTGATATTACCCAAGCATATAGAGAACCCATTGCCGCGATTCGATTCGATAGACTTCTTGAAGTGCACAAAGTGAGCGCTCCCTTCCGGTTCATCGTATCATTCTCGAACTCACAAAGTAGTAAACTGGCCGTTTCGACATACAGAATGTCTGACTGCTGGTTCGGCATCCGCGGACTATACATCGACACAATTCCTCGAAAAAAATCGAAGGGGTAAGTCTCCTGCTGAACACGAAGAGAGCATTTTTTATGTCACTTCTCTCTTTACTTCTATTTTACAAGATCTGGCGGTTAAGATCGCTGAACTTATTCTGTATAACGCACATGACGAAAAGCGGAATCCCCTTACACATAAAATCCCCCAGCTAAGGAAATTCTGTCTCATGACGCAGTTCACTATCGACAGCACAATCTACGAATGTGTAAAAAGGAACATCAACAAGTTTTTAGCGACATTACAAGGTGTCTTTTTTGGTGCGCCAAAAACTACTCCTGTAAAACTTAGACACAATTTCCAAAAACAATTTCATATCAAGCAGGATTCAAGTGGATAGTTTATTTTTTCCAATTCTATTCGCATATATACCCGCGTATATTTATCCTTTTTGTTCAAGTAATGACCGGCATATATATTTCGTTGGTAACTTCTTATAATTCATTCCTATGCCTAACAAGATCCATTCGGGTTTTCCCCTTCTATCCCTTCCTAATGTTGATTGAACATATTATTTTAACCGGACCTTATTTGGTATCCAAACTGCCTTTCACTTAAAGTGCCTACGCGTTAGTCATCTTTCTCAATTATTTCACTTCTGACCGACATTGGTTAGTCACGGTTAGTCACCGCGATAATGCATTGTCCCATAAACTGGGTAATCTAATGACATCCTTGTGTTCTAATCGCTAAACTCGTACCATTTCAGTCCCTATTCCATGCACTTCAACAATACTTTCGTCCACTTCCTAACATCGTTTGTTTTTAGAATTTCCAGCTATAATCCAATTTCAACACAATGATCAGTCCTTTAAACGTTACGTCATACATTATATTTCAACTACGGG